CCCCCCCCCCCCCCCCTCCCAGGTGACCCACAGCAAGAGCCTGGACACGGGGACCTGCCGCATCTGTAAGATGCCCCTGCAGAGCGAGGAGGAGTTCATCGAGCACTGCCAAATGCACCCCGACCTGCGCAACTCTCTGACCGGCTTCCGCTGCGTGGTCTGCATGCAGACCGTCACCTCCACGCTGGAGCTGAAGATCCACGGCACCTTCCACATGCAGAAGCTGTCAAGCGGCTCGGCGCTGGGCGTCGGGGGGGCCGGCGGCGGCGGGGGGGGGCGGAGGCTCGGCCTCCTCTTCCCCCAACGGCCAGCTGCAGCAGCACAAGCTGTACAAGTGCGCCTTCTGCCTGAAGGAGTTCAAGAACAAAGGGGAGCTGGTGAAGCTGGACGTCAACGGGCTGCCATACGGCCTCTGCGCCGGCTGCATGAGCAGGTGGGCAGCTGGAGAGGGGGGCTGGGGGTGGTCTACTGGTCCTCTTTGGGTCTCTCTGGTCCTCTTTGGGCCTCTCTGGGTCTCTATGATACTCTCTATGATCCTCTCTGGGCCTCTCTGGTCCTCTCTGGTCCTCTTTGGTCCTCCGTGGTCCTCTCCAAAGAGGCCTGGCGCTGCCCAGCCCTGATCTTGTCAAAGTCAGTCAGCTTTGTTGACAATTCTGTAAAACACGGACACTCGGACAAATTCAGAATCCAAACTTTGTGCTCCCTGACAATACAGTAAAAATTTGAAATAAAAGCAAGTACGAATATAAGAAAAATGAAAGAGCGTATGTAGAAACTATATAAAAAAAAACAAATAGCAAAACAGTAAACTGTATAAATGTATAACAAATAACAGTCATAAAACAGGTCGTAGGAAAATGTGTGAGTCTCAGTCACAGCTCTTCACCTGCATCAGCCGGGAATGACTCACTCTATGTGTGTGTAGATGTTCACACACCTGTGTGTGTGTGCATGTGTGTGTTAGATCGGAGGCCTGTTCCTCCTTCAGCCTCCTTCACATGCAGAGATTCAGTTCAGGAGCTGCTTTGTAAACCAAAAGCCGTCATCTCCGCCTCAGAATCAGATTTTTAATTACCAGGATACAAAAGAGCAGAAATCTGCGGCCCACGTTTGTCACCGGATGACAGTTCTGAGAGGGTTCGCTCACACCTGCCACTGAAACGCCCCCCACGCAGCCTGAGCGACAACCTCTGTTCAGGTTTCAATTAGCTGCTCCTCGTAGCTGCAGCCGCCTCTCACATCTGGAGACATGCAGAACAGCTCGCGGCTCCATTTCCATCAGGCACTTTGTGGCTTCAGTTTTCTCTCTCAAGGCTCCCGGCCGCCCGGTTCAGTGGAGAGAAGAGACAGACTGGACCAGAGTGGCTCCTCTGTCTGTTCAAAGAAGCTCTCCTGGCCTTAAACCTCCACCAGTGGAGCCTCTCTGTGTTCGGCCCCCAGCGGCTGAAACCTGGAGGCGGTTAGTTTTAGGGGCTCCGGCCCTTTAAGGGCTGCACAGCTCACACAGGCCGTTTGACCCGCAGGGGCACCAACGGCCAGAGTCCCAGCCAGGCGGGAGCCCTGGGGGAGGCCGAGCGGGCGGCGGCCGAGCGGGCGGCGGCCGAGAAGGCGGCGGCCGGGCTGCGCTGCCCCGAGTGCGGCGTGAAGTTCGAGAGCCTGGAGGACCTGGAGAGCCACGTCCAGTCGGACCACCCCGAGGTCAGCCCCGAGAGCAGCAAGAAGGCCGAGGCCTCGCCGGCGCCCAAGGTGAGCGGCGTGCATGTCTGTGTGTGTTTGTGTGTGTCTGTGTGTGTGTATGTGGGTCTGTATGTGTGTGTGTTTGTCTGAGTGTGTGTGTGTTTCTGTGTGTGTCTTAATCATCGATAAATCTGAAAATCCCACCACCATCAAAGCTTTTGATATTTTAGTGTTTGTTAGGTGTTAAACCTGAAAACCAGCTCCCACCTGCAGCTGGATGATAATAATGATAATAATAATAATAATAATATTCAGACTTTCATCCCCACTCTGACTCTGACCCCAGTTCCTCTCTCATGTCTGTTTCCGGTCTTTGTGGGTTTGTCGTAACAAAGACTTTTGTGTTTTCCTTTGTTCCAGAAAAAGACCTACCAGTGTATTAAATGCCAAATGACCTTTGAGACAGAGAGGGAGATCCAGATCCACGTTGCCAACCACATGATCGGTGAGTGAGTCCGTCCTCCTCCGCTGTGACGCCTGCTACACACTCACTGCTACACACAGGTGGTGCGAGGCGCTGTGCTTCTGGGTGTGTTTTTGTGGGTGGTGGAGCCAGATGAGGAGAGGCTCCTCTTCTCTGGGCCGCTGAGGGCTCCTGGTGCCTGGCGATGCTGCTGCTGAGCGTCTCACTCCGGTTGTGTAGAACTCGCACACGCTGTTGTGCGTCGTTTGTGTGTCTCACCAAAGAGAAAAGGCCGTGAAAAGGCGGCATTTGTGTGGAGCTAAAACCTACTTTTTTTTTGTTTTTCCTGCTCTTTTATGAGCCTTTTTCCCGCCGGCTGCTAATTTGCTGCCGTAGCAACCCTGTCGTCATAGAGATTAACGAGCTGGAGCCCTGAGCTGTTCTGCAGAACAAATGCTCGGCAGCGCACAGCGCCTGACAGCCGACTGACGCGCTCCGAGGTGGCTGTGTGTGAGTTTTCTGAGTCTTCTGCCAGCGCCTGGAGACGCGGGAGGAGGCGCAGGTACAGCTGGAGAACCGGTGGCTGCGCTCCCCGGCGAGCGGCCGCCCGGCTCCCGGCGCCCACCAGCCGCATGCAGAAGCAAAGCTTGGTTTATTTCTGCCTCTGCCGAGCAGCGGCTGCTCCGGTGAGGAGCTGAAAGAGGAGGCGGGACAGGAAGCGGCTCCTGCCGGCTTCATGCCACCAAAGTGACCCGGTTCTCCTCCAGGTGCTTTTTGTTGCCCTCCCTCTCTCCAAACGTCCCATTTCATCCTTCCATCCATCCTTGCTGCGTCTCCTCTCTGCCAGACTCTTTCTTTCCCACATCCTCCTCTCCTTCCCACACACTGTGGTGGCAGTTTTGGGTTAATTAAGATGCTAATTGTGTGAAGATCTAGTGCAGATTAATTATGAAATTGAGGCAGATTGTTTTAAGAGCTTGCCCAGTTCCTATTATTACATATTGCACAAAGAAGCAGCAGCGATGGAGAGTTAGTTGTGGCTTTTCTGTCGGCTGTATCTTTTCTCTCTGCTGACACGTCTGGGACATTCATTTAGATCTGAAGAAACTGGGATTGCAGGAGCAGCAAAGGGCTAAAACCAGGGACATCAGGCACCAGAAAGGGCCACAGCTCTCTGCTGGTTGCACAACAAAGAGCCGTCGCTATAAATAGCAGGACGTGAGGTTTCCCAAAGCATCCCGCTGCTGCCTGGCTGTTTGCTCTGAGGTCCGGCCAGTAGAGGCCCATCCCACCGGAAAGGCCCAAAAGGAAATAGTTTTAAAGTCTAATATATTAATCAATAGAACAACATGTACAACATGTATGTATGTTCTTTAATTTCCTCAAATGAGCCTTGAGTATTGATATTCAAAAGCTGATCTGTCTGGAACAGACAGATGAGAGCATGAATGTTATTTATTTATATATATATATATATATGTGTGTGTGTGAGTGTGCGTGAAAGCCTGAAATACACATAAATGAGTTTTTGTCAATTTTATCAAAGCTGTTTCATTTCTGTGAAGTGCAAGTTTACTGGTGTTGCTTGGGGTGTTTTCATATTTAAAGGAGTGAGTGTGCCTCTGGAAATGTGCACAGAGCCGATATTCTACAGTAGCAAATCACACGAAGCGACCCGGTTAAGAGTTTTCACACTCGTTGACGTGAAGGGGGCTGATTTTGGGGCGCACGCTCGTTATCGTGCTGACAGTTGACTGGTTGAAGGAGCAGGCTAATGGAGTCCAGTAATGTGATTGTCACACGGCTCCGCGGGTAACAGGCTGTGCACCTCGGTCCTGTTAATTACGCTGTCAGAGAGCTGGAGCAGAGAGAGGAGGAAGTCCAGCCAGAGTGGTTCAGAGCCGAGGTGTGCAGGCTGCTGCCGGCTGGTTCCGCCCGTCCTCACACTCTGCTCCGCTTTAGCTGCTGCTGAACGCTTGGCACAAACATTCAGAATAAACATTTCATTGATTTAAACCTCCCAGGCGATGCCACAACTCTTCCCATTTACTCTCAGTTCAACAGAAGTGACGTTTTTTTAGGAAATGAAGTGTTCTTAATGAAGCCTCTGCAGACTGACCTCAGCTGTGCGCTGACTGGTTCTTCCCTGATTATGTCGTTCTATAATCAGGCCTCCTGCTCGACCTGGTGTTAAAAACTGAGGCCTTAAATTGGTGCTGGTTACAGCCCTGTGTTCAGCGTTGCTCTGATTGTGCTCCACCTCCTGTGTGGGCTCCTGCTAGCTTTAGCTCGAACGCTGCACAGCGGTTAATTAAAACGCTATGTGGCCGCGCTCTGCTCCAGAGGCAGAGACCAGGAGAGATGCAAAAGCCGAGCAACGAGCGGCGCCGCGGGAGCGAGAGAGGATTCCTGCGAGTTGAAAGACACAAAATGAAATGAACAGTCACCGTTCCTCGCTTCAGTTTAGCCGCACTGCTTCTAAACCGAAAACGAGCTTAACCCGAGGCTTCGTTTCCTGCTAACACCTCAGTTTGCAGACTTATCTGCCCCCCCCACCCCTTTTTAGACTGGCCCTTACCAGCCTTCAGACCTCACTGAAAGCCAAATGTCTGGAAGTTAAAACCAGAAAACCTCAAATGTAGCATTTCAAACATCACAGATAGCATGCTGCTAGCATGTAGCCTGTTGCTACTTGCTAATGTCTCACAGATTGGAGGTCAGATGGAGAAATGCAGCGTGTTTCCACTTCAGCTTCCGTGTAAATCTGTAACCAAACTAAATGTTTAACAAAATTATTCAAGTCATTTTAGGTGTGTGTGTCTGAGGACGTCTGGAGGAGAAGCTAATGAGACCCAGCGTAGGGTGTTGATGGGGGGGCAGTGAGTAGGTGGAGGGCAGCTTTTTGGACCTGCTCCTGATCAGTAATGTGCGGTTAGGGTGGTTTTCCTCTCTGGTCTTTGGGAGTGTGCCTCCATGGACGGCGCTTTAACAGGCGTTAGCTTCTTTGTCTGCTCATGGTGGAGGCGCTGCCTCCCTCTAAAGGTGAAAATTTGGATTCCTAATGAGCCCCACTGTCTCTGATTTGGTGTCAAACGTCCTAAAATGTGTGCATTTTGAGTCCAAACGTAGCCGGAAAACCTTCAGTAAAACTACATAGTGGTGCATTTTCTTCTTTTTAGAGAAAAGAGTGAGTGAAAGTGCCGTTATCCCCCCCCCCCCCCCCTCCCCCCTCCGAATAAGCTGCCTGACAGCGTGTTGCATGCAGCCACTGATTCTTTACTAATCACCTCAGTTACCATTACCCAGCATGAGACTCTACTTTTCCAGCACATTCAAACACACACACACACACACTCCCTGTCTGGCTTTGGTTCTCATGCACGTGCACATCGGCGCGGCGCCGGCTCATTGATGGCTCTACGGCGGCCTGACGGGCAGCTGGCGTCCCGGCCTCAGCGGCCCCCTCCGGCCGGGGGGGTCCAGGCCCTGTTCTGCTGTGAGCCGCTCTCAGATTTTCCTTTTTGAGCGTCCTTTCGTGAGCCGGTGTGTCTGTAACGCCCACGCAAGCACGCCACCTTCACACTGTGTTTTACTAATCCTGCCCATTCTCTCCTTCACTCTCCCTCATCCCCACCTGCCAATCGGATGGCCGTAGAAGAGCCCGCCTGTCGGCAAGGTTTGTCCCCTTCTGTCTCCTTAGCTCTCACTTTGAGCAAGGCAGCACTGAGCTGCTCACTGCCTGCCCATCCTCATAAACATCCTCCCGCTTCCGACTAGGCACAGACTGATACTCACCACGCAGAAGCCTTGCTTTTTTAGGCCTGAGCACAGGAGTTAGCGACTAGCTGCTAGCGGCCATGCCCAGAGTCCACATTGCATGCTGTGGGAAGCAAACCAGCAGCTGTTTGGCTGCTCAGACGTCAGCCGGTGACGAGAGCCGCGAATCACAGCGTTTAGGAAAGGACAGACACATAGCAGACAAATCTCTGCCCCCCCCCACCTCAAATCCTCATTCACCCCAGTTCATGCTGCTAGCTGCATGCTTCATTGTCCTTCCCACTTTGTACACACACACACACGCTTGCGCACACACACTCACACATGCGCACTCGGATGCCTTGGAGGTATCGAGTGGCCACTCACCTGGATCTAAGTGCTCCCTGTGGAGTGTGGTGGCTAATGATGTGTCCTCAGCATGAGCTTTACTTACCTATTTACATCAGCGCGCTCCGATAGTCGCAGGAGCGTTTTTTTTATGGCGGCGTTCTTTACATTTTTGCAATAGGAAGGTTAAGAAGGAGGGACCTTTGACTCTCTAGGCTGGAGGCGGGTCCTCAAAGGCCCCTGCTCTAAGCAGGCTGGCCTGCCTGTGTGTGGGGGGGGGGGGGGCGCGGGGGGCCCCGGCAGCCTCCCTCCGGAGGTCAGCTCCAGCCTGCTGTTAGCCTGCAGTCAGGCCTCCATTCTGCTGTCTAAGCAGCCGTCCCAGGGGCCGTGGCTGAGCCCATGTGTGTCTGCGCTCGCATTTTTCGGTGCTACTAAGTGCCCCCCTCCCCTCCCCCCTCTCTCCCCCCTCTCTTCTTAACACATGCGCGCAGACACACACCTTTCTGTGCTAATGTGTGTCTGGTTGTGAGCAAGGTCTGGTCTGGTTACTTTGTGTCACTGAAGACTTAATGAGGCGCATAAGAAGCTTTTAGAGTCAGTGGAGGTGGATAATGTGGTTCAGAGACCAGTCATGTATGTGCTGTGTGTGTGTGTGTGTGTGGGTGTGTGTGTGTGGGTGTGTGTGCGTGTGTGTGTTTGCCACTGGCTACCAACATGGCTGCTTTCTGCCCTGCTGCACCTGAGCTAATGGGACGCAGGCGGCACCATCAGTGTCTGCACCAGTGCCCTGAACTAGAGGAATGGCAGCTCCTCTCCTTCCTGCTGGGGGGGGGGGGTCATTTACTGAGCATTTACTGGAGTTTAGCAGAGAGCTGAGTCGGTTAATTTGTGGACAGTTTGTCCAAAATCCTGGAAAGAAGACAGTGAAGCACCCATCTGTCCGCTC